CAAGGTCCCATTTTGTCCTAATTTCAAACATGTTAACATGCACCAATGTGCATGCACCTAACTAAAAATAATTGAAGTTTGGCCCAACTAAAGATGTTTACTTTATAATCATTTGCCTAATGTCATCTCTTCCTCTTCATATAAGAAAACCACATAAAGAAAACTTTTGAGAAAGTATACAGTTTAAATTTTATATGCGAAAATGAATTTTTTGCAGATGATATTAGAATAGGTAGAATAATAAATAAGCTCATAGCTAACGATTAATTTTAGATAAGTATAAGAAGAGTGATGCTACATTTATAGGGGCCTGGTTCACAGGCCCCTACCAAGGATGACATAAGGTGGGCCCCACAATTTTTTTAAAAATACAGGTGGACCCTCCACATAGTGAGGGGCCTGTAAAACCCCTGTGAAAGAACATTCTTCTTATAAGAATCAAAGATAAAATTGAATTCTAAAGTGAATTAAAATTAAGAAAATTTATCCAGAATACGAAAAATGCATTTTCAAAATCCTAAATGATGATATTGGGTCGAAACAGGCTGTACATCATGCGCGAAGCTGATGAGTTTTGCTCGGTGGGCCCTTTTCACTCAAAATAGATGCAAACATCTCCATAAATGGACACTTCCAAAATTTGTCAATGTTTGGTAGAAATTAGAATCCAAATTTTAATTTAATCTAAATCAAAATTAATAACTAATTTTAAGTTTTAACCAAATATTTTATGAGACCTAAAACTTTTCAACTATATATTTCATTAACTTTTATCGAAATTTACTAAAAATTTAATTTTATTCCCTACCAAATAGGGCAAATCAATCCTACTTTTTCATGAACCCTTCTTTTTGTATTGCATCACTAACCTAGAGCTTGTTTGAAAGTGATTTTGATTTTTTGACTGTTAGGATAAAGGTCAGGTCCACCTGTGAGAGAAGAAGTCAAATATGATGGCTGGAATAATGAAATAACGATCTAAAATCAATTTTTTGGGTCAAAAAATCACTCCCAAACATGCCACTAGTCTATAAAGTTCGGGTAAATTTTTTCCTTCTTCATAAAATTGGCCGAGATTTTTTTTTTCTGCTTCATAAAATTGGATAAAAAGGATTTAACTCACTTTAAAAAGTTAATGTCAATCCCATTTTGTAGTTTCGCCCGACGCCCATGCTATTGAAGATAAACTACAATAAAATGAATGTAATAATAAATCTTTGATTAAATATATAAATATAATACAAGAGCGTATATAAATCTTTCAATAAATAATAAAATGAATATAATAACCTTGTAATAAGTTGTTGGCTTTTAGGGTCTATTTGGGAGTAATTTTTTCTTTCAAAAAATTGATTTTTTGATCGTTATTTCACTATTTCAGTCATCATATTTGACTTCTTCTCTCACAGATGGATCCCACTTTTTTTCTAACAGTTAAAAAATTAATTCTCAAAATCACTCCCAAATAGGGTCTTAAAAATTCGAGAAAAAATAAGTAAAGAAAAAGGAAATAGAGCTGGAAATAATCCAAAAAGTGTCTATTCGATACAGTTGGAGAATGGGACACGGCCGCTCTGACAACCATACATTTGTTTTTTATTTTTTTTTAAAAAGCAATAAAAAATGGCCGCCAGACATCACTCATTTCATATGTTAGTCTCATTATATCACGAGAAGCATTTGGTTTGAAATCAAATCAATTCATTATCATTATTTGATACCATAAATTAAGCGATGTTGAGTATTTGCATCTTTTCAACTAATCAACTTATAAACTATAAACCTTTCATATATTTAATTAAAATGAACGAAATAGAAAAATGATTCTTCGACTATTTTCTCTTCTTGCTATACTGATAATTAATCGTTCGAATATTTACTATTTTGATCCACAATGGAAGATTTCGATCCATATTGCTTATATACAATACATGATATTTTCTCTGAGGGATAAATTAGCGCAATAAAAATAGTTTTTTATGATAAACTAAATTAAAGATAAAAGAGAAATAAGAAGCAAAGGAAGAAAGTAACTCTTATTATTAATGAAATGACAAGAAAATCCCTGCACATCCATCCATCCTACCTACCACTACACCGTCTCTCTTCACCATTAACGACCACCTAGTTGTTGTTGCCTTTGAAACTCTCCATTCTTTAACTTTCTTTAACCTCCACCCTATGTGCTGAACAATTCGGGAGTGGGGGACGAGTTATGAACCTAGTGAATTTACGTATCTAACTCATATATGTGTATATAGGCAACATATAGATTTTTTATGGATTTATTTGGTTCTTTTGAATCTTGCTCGAGCCGGATAACAAAAAATTATCATGTCCGATTCCTTCAGGGGATGGATCTACAAGAATTCACTTGCTATAGGAGTGTCATATTTTGTGTTAAGGACCTACTTATTACCATAAACTATACTTTGAGGATTCCTTTGCAATTTTCGAAAAAAAATACAGAAGGAATTTGCTGTTTGCATTTAATTGACAATCAAAATCCAATCTTGAAATATAAACATTACCAATAATGCTATTAACACTTCATTGAACGATACGATGGTATTATTTTATTTTGGCAAATTTATTAATTTCTTTTGAATTCATGACAACAACAGAATCATCCTCTCTTTTCAAAACCCCGATTCCGCTCATCTTTCCATAAAATTTGCTCTACTCATTTATTACTGTTGCATGCTCTCTCTCTCTCTCTCTCTCAATGCAGAGCGCGTAAAGCGATAAGATTTGTTAATATATGGCATTACTGATTGGTTGATTGGTTCACTGTCTGGTCATGTCCTACAGACTCGTTTAGAAACTACATAAATCCCAGAAAAAAACATAAATCTTAGCACTCGAATAAGTGTCGGTCGCTTCTTGGATTCGATGCTCGTATAAAGTAACAATTTCCCTTACAAAAAAGCTGTTGTTCTAGTTGGCACCATTCATTTCTCTTTTTTCATTTTTTTTTTCATTTCTTCTTCTTTTTTCTGGAGCTCCAGAGCCCAAAACTGTAAACTGGGTTTTCAATAAAAATTCATTTAGTAAAAGATCTTTTGAGTATCCGATTTAAGGTAAGTTTATCGGAAGCATTTGAACTCTTATTCCATTTTTGTTTAATTATACAATGTAATTATGTAAATTACAATCTACAAGAGTACAGAGTCATCAATAGAACCAGATTTTTATAAAAAAAAAATTACTAACTCTTTGCTGGATCTTTTACTGTATTAGTTTGTCATTGTGCATGTATAGCATTGATTGCTAGAAAAAGAATCATTTGAGAAAACATACTTTGCTTCCAAGGAAGAACAGAGATGTTATCTTTTTTGGGAAAAGTTTCAATCTTTTGCATAGACAATAATGGGTTCTAACATGAAAATTAGCATACGGTTGGATGGAGTTGAACAGTATAATTATTATTTTTTTTACTATATATATGCCATAATGCTTGTATTGGTAAATTTTTAAAGCCAGATTCTTTTTTCTCCCTTAATTTTTTTTTGGGGCATTTTTCTGTTATTTTCTTGAATTAATAGTGAATCCATTTAAATCTGGACAGAATGATGAATGGAAGATCACAGAAACTTTTCTACATTCTCGTTTGTATGCTGATTGTGATAAGAACAGAAGGATTTTTGGTTGATATTACTTATGTTCAGAGTGCTGTGGCAAAAGGAGCAGGTAAAACATTAAGGGTCAACATTTAGAACAAACTTCTAATTTATTTTTTATTTTTTATGTGTATATATATTTTTAAAGAAGATCTAATATTTATTTTTCTGCTTTGTGCTCGCAGTTTGTTTAGACGGTAGTCCACCGGCATATCATTTTGATAGGGGATCTGGTGCAGGAATTAACAATTGGTTGGTTCATATCGAGGTTAGTCCTCTTTTCATAAGCTATTAAAAAATATATATATAGTTTTTTTTATCGCGGCCGAATGGATCATCAAAAGATTATACTTTAGATCATCCTAGGAAATAAGAGTAGTTACCTGATTTTTTTAGGAGAATATAGTTCATACAATAGGAAATGATCTAGTGACTGTGTTTGAAACATAGTAAAAATGATGATGTTGAGATCAACAAACATCACAATGGAATTGATTAAATTATATAGAATAAAACTTATCTTCTTCTTGTTGCATTTTTGGCAATCAAACTGAGTATTTCACTTTTGATTTTGCCATCCATGTACCAGAGATATATTTGGCCAAATACTTGAACCTGTTAAAATTGAATATTTTAGTACAAAAAGTTAAAACTTACTGTTTTTTATTATTTCGTGTCGCTTTGACCGCTTGAATGGTTTTCATCCGGATTTTTCACAGGTCACGTCCAAGTTATGCATAAAAAAAGAATGATTTTTGATCCTCCATAATAACTTAATAAAATCTGTTAATCTTCATGTCCAGGGAGGAGGATGGTGCAACAATGTCACGACTTGCCTTGAACGTAAAGACAATCGCTTAGGTTCCTCCAAGCAAATGGCTAAGCAGGTTGTATTTTCTGGGATTTTGAGCAACAAGCTAAAGTTTAACCCAGGTATACTTCACATTTTTGATTGATTTTGATTTTGTTAGAACTTTTGTATTTTCCAGTGTTATCTTTAATAAATATGGTCTGTTTTGAATTTCCAGATTTTTATAATTGGAATAGGATCAAGGTTAGATATTGTGATGGAGCATCATTTACTGGAGATATAGAAACAGTTGATCCTGTAAGTCATCACAGTAGCTTCTGTTCATAAAATCATTAATCCCTTATATTTTCTTTTTCACTTTCTAGAAGTCGTTAGATATAATGAAATGGCAGTTTTCAAACAGATAGTGAATTTCTTTGTTGTTCGAATATTTATGGAAACTTCTGATTTTTGGGTCAATATTCAATCAGGCTAATAAACTTTACTTCAGAGGAGCAAGAGTTTTTGTTGCTATCATCGAGGATTTGTTGGAAAAAGGAATGAAGAATGCTAAAAATGTATGATTTTCTCTTATGTTTCTCCCTTCAACTTTGACTGTAATCTCCTTGCTATTGTTAACTTAAGTGCTCTTATGTAGGCCGTTCTGTCTGGATGTTCAGCCGGTGGATTAGCATCGATTTTGCATTGTGATAACTTCAAAGCTCTTGTTCCCATGGCTACTAAAGTAAAGTGTTTTGCCGATGCAGGGTATTTTATTAACGCGTAAGATTTTATATGGGGCATGGTACCCAGACGAAATAATTTGATATGTACAAGAATCATGTTCTTTTGTTTTGTACGGATCCAACATCTTTCTTTTTATCCTCTATAACAGGAAGGATATCTCTGGAGCACCGCATATAGAGAATTTCTATGATGATGTGGTCAAGACACACGTGTGTGATTTTTTTTTTTTCGTAGCGAAAGAAAGATTGGAAATATGAAAATTGAATTACATAATAGTAGTTTGATTGTTCTTTAATACATTTTCTTCACTGACTTGGATGTAGGGATCGGTGAAGAACTTGCCCTCTTCATGTACTTCAAAGGGGAAACCAAGTTTGGTAAGAACAACTTTTTTGACTTGATGGTTTCCCTTGTCCTGCTGTGAAATAACTCTTTTCATGTTGATATCAACAAAAAATTTCAGTGTTTTTTCCCACAAAACATGGCACAACAAATTCGAACGCCACTTTTCCTTACAAATGCTGCGTATGATTCATGGCAGGTTAGTGCGTATTTGTGTCTCTCAAAGACCAACATTTTGATAGTTATATTTGCTCTAAATCATTGCTTTTGGCTTTCTTTCTCAGCTATAGTTCATGACTTATAGATCTCGGCAACAATTTATGAATTCAATCTTTTCTGTTTTCATGAATTAAGAACAAAAGTACATATGGAAAATTGTTCGCTGTGCTGTGATTATGAAACTAAAGAATCAGATAGCAGGAATTGTAAATTGCACGATTGTAATGCAAATTGTTCTGCTACCAATTTCAAGATTTCAATAATTAAGTATTTATATTTCACTTATATAGATTCATAAAAGATCTCTGATCATGAGCAATTCTGTTACATTACGACAGAAAATCTGGCTTTCATTTTTGCCGAATGTTTTGAGACCTTAATTGAATGCTTTCAAGAATAGCCAATACATATGCTATTAGTTAAACAAAATGTGGTGTAATTTTCATTTTCCCATGTTGCTGTCACTCGTTTGATTTTATGGTCTCGACTCTTTTGACATTATTATTATTTCCAGATAAAGAACATTTTGGCTCCTGGGGTTGCTGATCCACATGGTACCTGGCACAATTGCAAGCTTGATATAAAAAAATGCTCCCCCAGCCAACTCCAAATCATGCAAGGTTACCAAGATTTTTTTGTTTAAAAAAAATGATAACCTTAGGAATGGAAATTTTAGATGACTATAATCTAAGTTGATAAAATGGAAAGCGGCTACATAGAAAAGTGAACGGGAAATTTGGTTTTGATTTTCCTTACTGTAGCTGAATATTCGTATTATTTCTTATTTTTAATCTTAGAACTATACTAGAAATCCAGAGAAATGCTGGTGTTTTGTTTGCATAGAAAATGATATTGTTTCATATACGATATGATTTTTAGGTTTCAGAATGGAGTTCTTAAATGCACTGTCTGGACTTG